CTGTCTTGAACTTGAAGTTAAGTGAAACGCGAGAAATGAACGCACGTTTCTGGTATACTTTTTTTTCTCAGTCCAGACGTGGCTTTTTAAATCCTAATTCTGTGCTAAATAAGCTTCGAAATATTCCGTCGAAATTACCTTCTCACGGAAATCATTGTAACATTATGCAAGGTCCAGGTACAACAGGTAACATTTGAGCTTGCAATTTTAACTTTTAAAGATTAAGTATAACTTATAAGCCCTATATTTAAATTACATTATAAATTAGCACTAATAGTAATATAAACACTAGATATAATGTCACAAGCTCGAACTTACTATCTCAGTACCTGCTATAAGAATTAAAAAAAAATAATGAAAAAAGGTTATTCATATTTTAGTATAGTGTAATTTGTAAACTGATTTATAATAATTAAAATTAATAATTATTCATGGTTTAACTTATCGATAATAATTTAATATTAAAATACACAAATAAGGGTCTTATAATTTTATAGTTTGAAATTTGGTCGCTGTTTCTGGGTCTGTTCTTACAGTTTGTGTCATTCTATCCAGAGTTCTGATATATCCATTGATAAATTAAAAAAAGATCCAGTTTGTATGAGGTTTAATTGTTGAGCTGTTCATGTTGATTGCTCCACATCTTAACCCCATCACTGTCACTGCCAGACTAAGCAGAAGATTACATTGCATAAATAATAATAATAATTTTATTAACTTATATTTAATGTACTTTGGAACTATGTTAACAATATTAAATTATTTAATCACTGAGACTTTGAAAGTATTTGGAATTTCAAATTCAAATCAATATAAGAATCAAAGGGTTGGGTATGCAAATTTCTTGAATTGTCAAAATCAGTAAATCATTTAAATAGTATAATATACCAGCATGTAGTATGATTGTAAAATGGCATATACAAAAAAGCCAGTACTTTCATATAGTAAATGTATTTACACTATGTAATGACACTTGTTAAATACATTAACAGTTTGAAACTCATTAGATTAAACAAAAAAATTAACTAGAAAGATTCATTGTTGAAAATAATTTTTTTTCTGCTTTTTTCATATTTGAATTTGTTCTTAAAATTCATACATTTTTCTCTTAGAGTATGAACGAGTTATTTGTTACAAGTAGACAGGTTTACAGTTGAGACTGTAAAACTTTTAAAAACTTAAGACTTTGTGGATTAATAGAGGATTCTGTTTTGTCCATTAAGAATGAAAAAATCAAGATGATGGAAAAACCATTCAGCCAATGAGACTACACACTGTTTATAGCTAAAACAAATGATCAAAACATCAGTAAATAATTAAGTGTAGCTCTTACAAGTATACGTGTCCAAAACTTAATTCATTTTATGTATAGTCTAAAGATTACTGACATTCCACATCCTCTCGAAGCCTTTTCACCATTCAACCAATTGAGACTACGCTTATTTTTTTTTAGCTAAAACAAATGATTAAATAATTAAATGTAGCTCTTACAAGTATACCTGTCCGTAAGTTAATCTGTTTTAATTATAGCCATATATATCCACTTGTAGTATACAGTTTAAAGAGTATTCACAGTCCACATCATCTGCAGGCCATTTCACAAGTTTATAATAAAATAATGATTTTATTGAAGAATTAGCTACTAATTTTTCAGAGCTTACAGTGTAAAACTATTACCCTAGTATTATTCATGTTTCTGGTCTCCTAATTTCACAACCCAAACACTTGAATCAAATTACCTTTAATTCTTGAATACTATAGGGAAAAACATTTCCAAAATTTTAAGCTTTCTCTCTCATCTTTATTTCCTTAAACCATCTTATTTGTAAATTATTATTATTTGCTCTTTTTCACTACAGCCAAACATAGAGTAGAAGGATTTGGGGTTTTGCAAGAATCCTATAAAAATCTGTAACCCTTTTTTTTTCCATTGTATTAATATTCCTCTCTCACAAAAAGTATTTCTAGTCCATTCTAATAAAATATATAAATCTCAAATAAATAAAGAAGGAAACTATTTTTGTAAGTTGGAAGAGAAATTGGAGGCTGTTTTAAATAGTGTAGAAGTGATAGAAAAGGAGAAGGGTAAACTGGAGAAAGTGGCAGTAGGGATTAATAGAGAAAAGTGAACTTTTGTATGTGAGGGATACAGGGGATAGTGGTCTTTTAAGAGGTTGGAAGCAGTAATAATGAGGCTGGTGGTGACAGATTTAATTATAAAAAGCTGACTAGTAAAGAACAGATTTCAGCCTTTAGTTTGTGAAGATGACAAACTTGAAGATGGAAGAATAGCAAAAGGGACTGATAGGGATTGGGATGAAAAGTGTAACTTAGGATGTTATTGTTATAGGAGATTCTTTAGTACATCACATAAATAGTCTCGTGGGGTAAACAGGGAGAAAAAGAGAGATTATGCTATCCAGGGGCAGGAGTAGAGGATATAACTAACAGAGCACATAAGGGCTAATGAGATAGGGAAGGGTAGATCGAAGGAAGTAATTGTTAAGTACAAGGCATTAATAAAGGCATTCAAAGAAAAGGGTCATAGGAACTTACTTCTGTTAGAGATACCACTAAGAATTACCTGTGGGGATGAAATTATAAGCAAGTCACTAAGGCTGAACATTAGACTTAGGTTAACGTGTAAGGAAGAGCAGGTTGGACTTGTGGGGTTAATTCAATGGGAAAAGGAAACTGTATGGAATGGATTGTTTACATTTAAATAGGGTAGGGGCTAGTTTAGCTTGTTTGCAAGGGCTATTAACTGTAAAGGCAACTTGAAACTAGAATAATGAAACTAGAGTAATGAAAAAGAGATATAGAGAGGGGTATAGTGTGATAACAAGGTACAGAGTTAGTTTTAATGATAGGCTAAACTGTTATTGTAATGCTAGAAGGACAAGAAATAAAATGGTTGACTTTATAGCACTGGTCAGAATAGAGGATTTTGATGTAATGGGAATAACTGAAACCTGGTTAATTATATACATTTATGATGGAAAAAGTTTCTTTTAAATACAGGGTTATAGGTTGTTTAATAGGGATGGAGTACTAAAAAGAGAGGAGGAATGGTTTTATATGTAAAACGTGAGTACAGTCTGTTCAAGCTGAATATATCAATGCTAATAGCAATGGGGTTGAATTTATTTGGTTTCTGTTTGTGGTTATAAGGGGAGAATTTGTTACAGATCACTAGATGAAACTGGTGAAATTAATGAAAAATTCTATAGGGAGATAAAGAATTCAACTGTCAATGAGTTTATAATTATGGGAGTTTTTAATTTCAGGCAAATAGATTGGGAATTATTAAAATCAAATCATGGAGACAGGTTTTTAGAAACTGTTTAGAATGTTTATTTCAACAGTTGGTTAGGGAACCTACTAAGAACAATGCTATTTTATATTTATTCAATTATTGTTAACTTCTAATAAAGAAATGGGTGATAAAGTAGAGGTTGGGGAACATCTGGGTGCAAATGACCATTGCTCAATTAAATGTTATGTTTTCTGCACATGGAGATAAGGAATAATGAGATTTTGGTTCCAAATTTTAAAAAAAAGCAAATTTCAAAGAGATGAAACAAGAATTATGTGCTGTGAATTGGGCATCTGAATTAGTTGGAGATACTAATTGTTGGCTATACAAAACTGGTTAGTGTAGTTATTATTAATTAATTTATTTTGTGAGTTAATATTTCATGATTGTTTAATATTTTCATAACAAGAGAGTTAAAAGCAATAGTTATGACAAGTTTGGTTATGTAACTCAGTAAGAGTCATACATTGCATTTGCAATTCATTGGTGTCAAAGCTATAGAAAATTTTAGAGGCCTCAGTGATGAACATATAAATAGTGGCAACTAAACAAGCAGAGAAAAAGTAAAGTCAAGTGAAAAAGAAGTTCAGTCGGAGAAAATGTGAAGTTAATCGTCATGGGAGTGAACAACCTTAATGGTTGATATTTTAAAGTGAGATTAACAGTTTGATAGAGATAAGGAGAATAATTTGTCTTGTCAAAGGATGTTCTAAGCTAGTTAAACCCACTTGTTGGACTTTGATGAAAAGAAGACAATTATTGGAAATTCAGGATACAACTGTGGTAAACCACGAGGAAGCATAAATGAATTATTCACTCATACTATTGTGATAAAAGTAGAGAAAAATAGTTCAGCTTGTCAACTGGATTCTAAAACAATTGAATTACCCTAAATCGACTTTTTGAGAAGAATAAGAGAACTGTATAGTATTTTAGATACAACTATGATCTTCATAGTGTAAAGAATTTTTGTACATATATTTAACTTGTTTTGAATATATTATTTCAAAACAAGTGATGTGTGTACTGTCTGTTTATTGTTTGAATTTATCGCCAACAAGTCGCAGACACCTACTGTAGAAGAATCCTTAGCCCACACCCATACATACTATAAAACCCTGACACTGATCAAATGTGGGAAAATCTTAAAAATATATACTTAAATATTTAATGTAGGCATGTTATTTATAGACAAAATGGTGGCTACAATTATAGAAAAAACACATTGGCTCACGAAGGATATAAAAGATAAAATCAAAGAAAGGCATTATAAGTATAAGAAATTTAAATTGACTGCAATGATGGGAAACTTGGAAGACTATGGAAGATCAAGAAAGTTGGTCAAATGGGAAATTAGGAAATCAAAAACACTGTATGAAAAAAAGTTGGCTAGAAGTGTATAAATAAATAGTATAGGTTTCTTCAAATACATTAAGAGTGAGCAAAGTGTTACAATGAGAGTAGAATGTTTGAGGGATGATACTGGAAGTCCCATATCTGATGATTATGGGATGGCTGGGTTATTAAATACTACTTTTTTCAGTTTTTCTAATGGAGAATTAAGCAATATTCCTAAACCTGAGCAGTTACCAGATGGAAACAAGTTTCAACATGATGATCACATTAATTCTAAACTTCTTAAGAAAAAAATTGAGAAGATTAAAAATGATAAAGCACCTGGACCAAATAATATTTACCTAAGAGTTTTGAAAAAGGTTAAGGATTTGATATGTGAACCAAATGCTATTATTTTTTCAAAGTTCTTGAATAATGGTCAGGTGCCAGAAGAGTAGAACTTGGCTAATATTACTCTTCTTTTCAAGGTAGGTGATGAAAATTGTCCCAGTAATTAGATATCTGTTGGTCTTGC